TTTCCATAGGACTGACCTACACACTCTCTTCCTATTCCATTTCCAGGTCCTGCCACCTACACCCTGCCCAGGATTCTGGGACCCCACACAGTGTACACCCATGCTGAACCATGCTATTCCATGAAAGGGAAGAGTCTATACCAGAGCGCTTTTCAAGAGCCGACAAAGGTGAGCTATGCTTTTCTGTTCTCTTACTACAGCAGCAGAAGCTCAGGTGTTCTCCTCAGGGCAGAAGGGCCCCAGTGCTTGCCATATCCCCACATAGCACACGCTTCCTTGCACTTGCAGCAAAGCCCAAGAAGCCACAAGTCCTCTGGCTCTGCTATTACCAGTAACACCAATACCTGCCGTCCCTCACTTTTCCACACCAGCAGCTTTGGCACGGTCCAGTTCACTGGCACTAGTAGCACTAATCTCCTCAATCCTCTGAGAAATCACCCTTTCCTCCCAAGGAGCCCTCTCTTCTTAAGGCCCCAGACCTCCCACTCTGCTCCTCTGACCAGAAGCAGTTCAGTACTCATGAGCACCCAAGCAAGAATCCCCACTGCCTCTTTTACTCACCAAACTCATTGCTTCTCTTGCAGACACCAGGTCCTGCAGCGTTTAACAGGGTGGAACTGGACGTCTACAAAACCAGGGCTCCCAAGTATACAATGGGTCTAAAAACCAAACTTGCTGGCAAGGGTGTGTTTCCGGGTCCAGCCGACTACAGCCTGGGAAAGGTAAGACAGCCTTGCCACCAACATGTTATGCTGGACAGCCTTCATTTGAGTTCAACTCTGGAGACTGAGGCATCATCTTCAACTCTTTTCTTCCTATTTTTCCCTTCCAGTTGTCAGTGATCAAGGCCCGGGACCCTGCTTACACTTTTGGACTGCGACATTCTCTCTACAAAGCTTCTTTAATACCTGAAACACATCTTAATTAAAGACAGACACCTGCAGAGATCTTTTTCTGTTCCTCCTTTGTGGCAGGGTGGGGATAGGTGTGCATAGGTGTGCATGGGTGCAGATCAATGGCTCTCACTGTTTCATGTCTATGGCTCAGTTAAAACTTGTCAGGATAAGGAAGAGGGGAGAGCAGTGAGGTAAGAGCATGTGCCAGGCTGACATCTCCAATAGCACCATTTCACCTAACCAGAGCAAAACACTGTGAAAGCTGTCCAGCCCTGCCTTACACAGTCCACCCCACAGTCCATGCCAGCCCCAAGGACAAAGCCCATCTCAGCATCCCCCTTTTCAGTGCACACAGGTGGCATCTGCCCAGGGTGTACCCAGAAACACAGCTGCCCTGCAGCAGATCCTGCCACAGGCTCATTTCCACAGACAAGTCCCCAGACCACAGACAGCTGAGGAGAAAGAACCATTATTCCCAGTCTGAAAATGCAATCATCATAGGATCCTGCAACAGCCCAGGTGGGAAGGGACCTTGGAAGGTGACCTCATCCAGCCTTCGTGTGGGAAAGGCAACCTAGAAGAGACTAGCCAGCACGTGGGAAAGGCAACCTAGAAGAGACTAGCCAGCACCCAGCCAACTGCAAACTTGACTGTGCCCAGTGATGGGACTCTACTGCACCCCAGGGAGGCTGTTTCTCCCGTCTGGCAATTTGGCGATAACAAAAGGATTTGTCTCTGATTCCTAGGGAACAGGATGGGAACTGGAGCGGGCAGCTCTCACAAGTGCTCCAAGGCAGGAGCCTCTCTCAGCTCTGTAGCCAGCACTTCAGTCTATTCAGCCTGTTATAAATATAGTGATAAAAAAAATGATGTAATAAGAAAAATTTTTCGTTATGATTGAGAGTAGAAAATCATTAAGCATATGGTATAGGAATGTTAGGAGTGCTGTTTTTGAAGTATTCAACCAGTGAAATCTTACAAATTTAGCAGATATTTTATGCCTTGTTCAAGAAGCTATGGAAATTTTCATGCACACCAGTTAGACTGCTTGGAAACCCCCTACCCTCCTCATCTTAGTTTGAATATCAAGGATTCCAGTCAGTAGATCTAAATAGATACGGCCAGTGTTTGTCTTGGGGTAGCAGTATTATTGAAGTTATATAACTAGTGAAACAAATAGTTTTAAAGGTTAAATTTAAGAATGGTCATATTGTGCATAGTATGTAAAAGAACTTATGTAAACTTGACACAGCAGAAAAAAGCATATAAAATGGATGAAATTTTTTTGCTAATTAGAATAAATTTGGAGGAGTCATCTCCAATGTTCCTGGCACTGAAATAAAGAAGTGTCTGCTAATTCACAACAAATTGGCGCTGGATAAGTTTCTTTCATCCTGTTTGGTGAAAAAAGCCCTTTGCTCAGGCACCACTGGACTAGAAAAGGCTGTGCTGGATGTCTGTGCATATGTGGGGTGTGTGAGGACAAACTGGGGCTGCCCCACAACAGACTGAGCCAGTTCCATGGCTGCCCCCTGCCCAGCCCCAGAGGAGCCATACAGGCAATACGGCAGCACTGCAGCACGAACAGCTGCAGGGGTCTCAGCATCACAGTGGGCTTTGCTCATCACTGGGTGAGAATGGCCCTTTGGGATATCACCTGGCTATGGACATCAATGAGGATGGATCCACCTAGCAATGGATTATGATGTCACGGAGGAGCTGGTGTCCCTGCAAGAACCACACCCAGGCAGCACCACACTCCAGCTGACCAAGTTGATGTGTATACGTGCCAGAGACTTCCTCCCTGCCAGGCCAGCACTGCGCTTCTCCACTGCTGCTTGCCTGGCCAACAATTACTGCCTGAAGGCACAGCAGGAGTTTTTGCTGAATCTTTGCTTCTAACTTGCTGTTTCTCCCCTATTCCTCCTTCTCCTCCATCTGCTACATCTTATTCTTCACTTTCTATCAATTTACTCCGTGATGCTAGTTTCACTTTCTTCCTACTCTGGGCTACAGGAAAGCTCCGTACCAGGGCTGTGTCAGGAAAGACCTTGGTAGCTTTCCTGTTTTTCCTGTAGTTTATTTAGCCACGAGCATGGAGGGACCCTGGGTAGGAAATTGGAGACCTCATACCCGACGGGGCCCAATCCTTGCAGAGTTCGCTACCCCAGGTCCCAAGTACTGGCTCCCTGGGACAACAGGTAAATTATCACAGGGAAGCAGTGGCAGCAGGAGGCACAGCACACCGCTTACTTCCACTTAGAAACTTCCTTTCACTACACAGTTGCAGGCACAGGTCCTTTCACAGGCTTGTCTTCCCAGGTCATGCAGCTCATGATCCTACCAAGTACAGAGCTCCTGCATACTCATTTCGAGGGACCAAATGTCCCGCCGAATACAGCTGCTCACCAGGTCCTCGGTACTACATCCATCCATCCATCACCAAAACTGGGAAGCATGAAGCTCCATCAGCACAAATGACTTCACGTCCCAAGACCAAGATAGAAGTCACCCCTGGACCCAGTGAGTAGCATTTCTGCAGTCCTTCTTCCAGGCCAGGCAAGCATGCCTTACTGTTGCCATGTGCCACCTGGGCACAAAACTCTCTGCTCAAGCCCTGAATGGGCTTCAGAGAGTTCCAGGCAGAAAACAAGCAAGACTGAGCACCTCCTTCTTACTTCTCCTCTTCAGTTTAAGTTAGGTCCACTTCTCCTCTTCAGTTTAAGTTAGGTCCCAAGCTTCACTTCTTCTTCTGCCTCTTCTCTGTCCCAGGTGACTATACCACGGATCCTGCCAACAAACACATCTACCAAACTGCACAGGCGAACAGCCTGAAGTCCCGACCCAAGGACATAAAAGGCTTCCAAACGCCAGGTACAGAACCTGGGGAAACAGACACTCTTACAGCCTGCGTGTCCTCTGGGGAGCATCTGCAGCTTCTTCAACAGGCCTAGCAAAATGCCTAGGCAGCAGGACATAATGTGTGCTCAACAAGCTTCTTGCTGTCCCAGAGCACCAAATTCTTCCATCTCACAGAGGAACCAACAGCTCTAGCTTCAAACAGCCAATGCCCACCACATGCAACAGAAGCCAGAAGCACTGGGATGAGGGGCAGGATACTCTTCCTGCTCCTCACAGCCAGCTTGGCAGGCTGACTCTCTTCCACCCAGGCATTGCAACCTTTTCCATAGGACTGACCTACACACTCTCTTCCTATTCCATTTCCAGGTCCTGCCACCTACACCCTGCCCAGGATTCTGGGACCCCACACAGCATACACCCGTGCTGAACCATGCTACTCCTTGAAAGGGAAGAGTCAATACCAGAGCGCTTTTCAAGACTTTGCAAGGGTGAGCTATGCTTTTCTGTTCTCTGACTACAGCAGCAGAAGCTTAGGTGTTCTCCTCAGGGCAGAAGGGCCCCAGTGCTTGCCATATCCCCACATAGCACACGCTTCCTTGCACTTGCAGCAAAGCCCAAGAAGCCACAAGTCCTCTGGCTCTGCTATTACCAGTAACACCAATACCTGCCGTCCCTCACTTTTCCACACCAGCAGCTTTGGCATGGTCCAGTTCACTGGCACTAGTAGCACTAATCTCCTCAATCCTCTGAGAAATCACCCTTTCCTCCCAAGGAGCCCTCTCTTCTTAAGGCCCCAGACCTCCCACTCTGCTCCTCTGACCAGAAGCAGGCAGCTCAGTACTCATGAGCACCCAAGCAAGAATCCCCACTGCCTCTTTTACCCACCAACCTCATTGCTTCTCTTGCAGACACCAGGTCCTGCAGCGTTTAACAGGGTGGAACTGGATGTCTACAAAACCAGGGCTCCCAAGTATACAATGGGACTTAGAACCAAACTTGCTGGCAAGGATGGGGTTCCAAGTCCAGCAGAGTACACCCTGGGAAAGGTAAGACAGCCTTGCCACCAACATGTTATGCTGGACAGCCTTCACTTGAGTTCAACTCTGGAGACTGAGGCATCATCTTCAACTCTTTTCTTCCTATTTTTCCCTTCCAGTTGATCTTCAACTCTTTTCTTCCTATTTTTCCCTTCCAGTTGTCAGTGACCAAGGCCCGGGACCCTGCTTACACTTTTGGACTGCGACATTCTATCTACAAAGCTTCTTTAATACCTGAAACACATCTTGATTAAAGACAGATATCAGTAGAGACCTTTTTCTGTTCCTCCTTTGTGGCAGGGTGGGGTAGGTGTGCATAGGTGTGCATGGGTGCAGATCAGTGGCTCTCACTGTTTCATGTCTATGGCTCAGTTAAAACTTGTCAGGATAAGGAAGAGGGGAGAGCAGTGAGGTAAGAGCATGTGCCAGGCTGACATCTCCAATAGCACCATTTCACCTAACCAGAGCAAAACACTGTGAAAGCTGTCCAGCCCTGCCTTACACAGTCCACCCCACAGTCCATGCCGGCCCCAAGGACAAAGCCCATCTCAGCATCCCCCTTTTCAGTGCACACAGGTGGCATCTGCCCAGGGTGTACCCAGAAACACAGCTGCCCTGCAGCAGATCCTGCCACAGGCTCATTTCCACAGACAAGTCCCCAGACCACAGACAGCTGAGGAGAAAGAACCATTATTCCCAGTCTGAAAATGCAATCATCATAGGATCCTGCAACAGCCCAGGTGGGAAGGGACCTTGGAAGGTGACCTCATCCAGCCTTCGTGTGGGAAAGGCAACCTAGAAGAGACTAGCCAGCACCCAGCCAACTGCAAACTTGACTGTGCCCAGTGATGGGACTCTACTGCACCCCAGGGAGGCTGTTTCTCCCGTCTGGCAATTTGGCGATAACAAAAGGATTTGTCTCTGATTCCTAGGGAACAGGATGGGAACTGGAGCGGGCAGCTCTCACAAGTGCTCCAAGGCAGGAGCCTCTCTCAGCTCTGTAGCCAGCACTTCGGTCAGGCTTACTCCATTTGACAAAAGCCCTGTGCTCAGGCACCACTGGACTAGAAAGGGCTGTGCTGGGTGTCTGTGCATGGGGGAGAAGGCAAGTTCCCGGCACCGCGGCACACAGTCCCGCCGCATCCCCGGCGGTGCCGAGCTGGAACATGGTGTGCCGAGGAGCTGCAGCGCCGGCAGCCTGGGCAGAGCGGGCCCAGGCGCTCCTGCGGCGGCTCCGGGCGGG